TATCTGTTTGAGCCCCAGAAAAAAAATCATTAATTTCTTTGACATTTTAGTGTAGTAACATTGCTGCAAGGAGATCAGTCACCTGCTGCTATTTCCATATATAAAAATAAAGTCAGGTTTTTATTTTCTGACATTTGGTGGGCCATATTTTCTAAATAGGGACTCTATGGTGAGACTATGGATATATTTTAGTAACTTTCATCATTTGCACAAGCAGGCATAAAGAACAAACCATGTTTGTTATCATCAAAGAAATCAGAGGAAATAAAAAGGTAGAAAAACAGGAATAAGCAAGAAAGACTTCCAGGTTTCTAGAGATGTTTTTAACTTGTAGGAAGTTTAACTTCTTGGACCACTTGAACTGTTTGCATTTTCCTCCTGTTTAATACATCACACATTAGTATTTTGACCCTGCTTATCATCAGCTTGAGATGCAAAGCACTGTTATGTTAAAATTTTGGCTTCTTTTATAAGGAAAAAAACCCTAAACATATGACAATGCTCAGACTGTGCATTAGATAAAGTGATAATAGGAAACAGAGAAGAGAGGAAGAAGAATTGAAGATGAGTAAGCCAGACCTGGCGGATATAAACATTTTCTTTGTTCATGTGATGTCAGCCTGTTGACTAAAACAAGGCTTCTGTAAAAATGAGAGGTGAACAGCACACATGTCATCTGGCTTAACATTATAATGACTATAAATTTTTTTATTTTGTATTTTTTGAAAGTCAGCATTTTCACAAGTCCTAAGAGATTCACTGCCATGATGGGAGCTTTGTAAAACCTCTCAGCCTGCCTGATGAGTACAAACCAAGCACCATGACCATAACCCATACTTTTGGTTGCAGAAGGCATTACCTTCACTTACATTTGATTGTGATATATTTTAAATACCTCCTTCCTTGGGAGCCCTGATTTGAAGTACTGGTGGTTTATAGTACATCTATTTTTTTTTTACCTCTGTTAGTGGGAGTGTGGTTCATGTATGTCAGTTGCTCAGTTTGAAAGACTTTTTGGCCAAGCTTTCAAGAAGGGTGGAGAGAAAGAAGCAGAAAGCAAACAATCATGAATAATAAATAATGATCTTCTTCCTGCAAGTTTCATGAAAAACAGAAGAGGTTGTGCCTTGTTGCATGCACTTATGTTTTTGCAATCCCAAACACTTTGGGCATTTGATGTAGAGTTGATGTAGGGCTTTTGTTCTCCATGCCTCTGGCAGTTAGGAAATGTAAAGCAGAAAATGCACTTTGCCTGCAGGAGAAGAAGTCACTGAGGTGCCCAGTGGTGCAGTATCCCTGCAGGCTCATTCACAACACGGCAGAGAGATGAACCCTGACAGCTGGGTCTTCCTTGCATGTCAGCAACAGTTAAAATTCCACAGATGGTCCTCAAAGAATGAGGTAAAATGGGGAAGATAGGTAGTTATATGCATATTCCATTTTAGTATGTATTAGTGCATTTTTATGCATTTTTAGTCACCTTTCAATTTCTTCCTTTACTTCTTTGCCTAACAAGAGATTGGTAGGAAGTGGCAAGGACTGAGGAAGGAAATACATTTCAAAGTCACAGGTTTCTTCATAATTAATAAAAATGAAAGGTGGATTCACATTTTCACTACATCCCATCTAAATTACTTAATTATTGCTTATCTTATTGCTTGGCTCCAAGTGTCATTTTAGTGTCCCCTTGTAGTAAGAGAGAAAACAAGGGTGTGTATAAATAAGAATCCAAATAAAAATTAGCTGTTGACTTACATGTGCAGAGTTTATTGAATATTATGTACCATGCCTGTTTTTATCAATTTTTGTGTATATTTCACTCCTGAAGTGGCCCTAGTGTGCAACTTTGAATTATTTTCTTTCCATGATTATCCTAAAAGTTGCACAAATTAACAAAACGGTCCTGGTGACTCTTCAGGGCTGGTCCCCTATCATTGTGACTGGAGACCAGGAAAAGTAGAGCTCTGAAAATTGTGTTATCATTCATTGAGGCTATAAGTACTCTGGTAAACAGGCCACCCTGATCTAGATACTTAATTATGGATACCTACTTTAGCAACTAATTTTACACCTAAGACTACTTACGTGCACTTCTGAATGCACCACAATTTCCTGAATTTGGCTCCTTATTTGAGAAACTCAGTTGTTATTCATCATTACTTTTAAGGCTGGCCAGAAGACAAGATTGTTTTTATTTGAGGAAAAAAAATGAGATTTGGGAATTCCTTTCTGGCTTGGAGCAAAGTGATCTGTACAGATGTACTTTGTGGAAAGTCAAAGAGGAAGTATGAGGCAGCCTAAATAACTAATCTATTCTATAAGCTAAAATGACCAATAGCTGAGCAAATGGGGCAGCACTCACCCGGGATATAGAATGACATACTGAAACTCCTGCTCCAGTTAAACACTACAATAGAGTATGGGATTGTATTTTGTAATTTTGTTTTCTGCTGAAGTTATCCTAGTATGTAAATACAGTTAATTATTCTTCAGATCAGAGAAGTGTCTAAGAGCTCTGGTCCTCTTCCTTCTCTTGTTTCATTTAGCCGTAGTGCTGTGAGCCTTAAGGAGCTAGCCATTAAAATATTTCCATGCATTTTGGAATAATGCAGGATTAATGAGATTTTCCTAAGATTTTTTTAAATATAATTTCGACCTCTCTAGTATTTTCTTTCTTTCTTATTTATATGCTATTTAAAAGTGGAAAAAGAAATTTCTCATTAACCACCTTGTAATAAAAATGTGTGAAAAGCATAACTTCACTGCTGCTCTTTGTTATTTATTTCTGCATCTGAAGAATGTAAGTTTTTCTACAAGATGCATTGGAAAGATGTGTAAGGATTTGTTTTAGTTTTTGTTTTTCTTTTCTTCACTAAAGAAAGCTGAACAAAACTGCTTTTTGAAGTGCTGTAATTGTTTAGGTAACTGACACTAAAAACTAGTGACAGGATGTGAGTTTCTAATTTTGGTGATGTCCCATTGTTTTGAGGGGAAGCTGGTTTTGAAGTAGTGATTGTAAGCACAGCAGGTGTTGGGACCTTGTAGGCAGCAGGCAGAACTATCACAGGTTGGGACAAAAGTTCCCTTTTTTTCTTGGTAGATAGAGGGATAATATTCCCACAACCATTTTCTTGACTAACATAAACAGTATGCAGAGCTTCAAAAATCTAGAGGCACATTCTGTTATTTAATATATAAGCTGCCCTGTTTTGACTCTGTTTGGGCTCTGCAGTACTTGGATAAATATGCAGGTGTGTGATGGAAAGAGGGAAGAAGCAGCATCAAGCTGGAATGGATTTCTGAATCTTTGTCATTCAGTCTGATATATTGGGGAATACATTCTTATTTCATGGAAAAACTCACTCATCTTCTTCAAAAATACCTTTTACTTCCACAGTGCAGTAATTCACCATGATGGTAATGCTAACTGAAATAGGGATTATTGAGAACGCTACAGATGATCCCCTATGGAGTATTTCAGTCTTGCCTCCAGAATAAAACTTTGGTGCATCTGAATCAATTGGCATCTTTCCACTGATTTCTAAGTGCAGTGAAGTGGGTTGTGCTCTTCTTGGGTGGACATCTCTTGCAGGTGCCCAGCAGCATCTGACCCCTCCAAGAGCCCAACTTCAGTGAACTTTGCAGATTCTTGTAAGCAAGGGTGGCCTTGATGCACACAGGCTCTGGGTGCTTCCTCCTGCCCTTCCTCTTTTGTAATTAATCTAGTGGTTTGAACAAAATGAAGAGAGAGAAATTGTTTTGACAATATTTTAATAATGTAATAAACTGCTCCTGCTTACCCTGTTGTTGTCCTCCAGTAGCACATGAATGTGCCTGCAAAATGAAATGGATGCAAATTTAGGATGCATTCATATTCTTCTCCTTTTTAAAGTAACCCTCTCTTTTCTAATACTGAAATGAAATACTGCATGGCACCCTGCATCTTAAGAATTGCGTTGTCGAAGCTTTACTTTTCTTGTGAAAGTATTAATCTTTATCTTATTGAACTTGAAGGTAGATATGATAGAATGGGATGAAATCTTTGAAAGGAAAAGCAAGGGAAGATCTCCTTTCATTTTAATACTGTCCTCTATATGCTGGTATTTTGTGGAATATGATCATTCTGAAATGCAAAATAATTATTTTCAGAAGTATTCATATTTGCCCCAGGAACATCATCTCTGACAGAGATGATTTAACATCACCCATCCAAAAAGGGAGTGAACACTTAACATGGAAATTAAATAATTCTAGCCTATGCAGAAATTCTGTGGTGTAATTATACTGGGGGCACTGGAGCACCCCTGAGAGCCCTCCAGCTCATCCCTGCCATAAACAGGCTGGAGCATCCAACTTCTCAAGAATGACTTCGTGTTAATAAAGTCTTTACAACTGAGTGAATTAAAAAGAAAAAAATCGAATTTCTTGTAGATGTCAAAAAAATTTCAAAGTCCATTTTGATCTGCTGAGGAATGTGGGGTATACCTCTAGGCTAACCCTAGATATACAGAATTTATGGGCAGCCATCTTTTGAAATAGTACAAAAGAGGCAGAAACAGGGATGAAAACCTCTGAGTAGTTCAGACACCAAGCTGGTTCAGCAGAACACATTTTCAGCTGGTTTATATCCCCCCTCCTGCTGGAATGTGGCTAAACAAGATTGGGCAGGGAGAAAGAAAAGTGACAGTGCAAGGCTAGGATGGGAGAAGAGAGAACAAGTAAGATTGTAACAGAGGTTTTGTCCAGATGCTGAATGTTTTTCCTGACCCTCAGAGATGAAAAAGAAAACTTGGGCAAAATGAAAATTTTGGAAACTTCACTCCTTGAGTTTGCAGAGTCCTGGGGTTACATCTCAAGCTAAGTACTATCTAACATCGAGTCTCCTCTTCTAAAATGAAAATACCATAGAATTTTTAGTCCTGTCTTCATACCTGCATTGAAATAGTCACATTGACATATGTTTTCTTTTTTTTTTTTTTTTTTAATTTTCCCACTGACAGGTTCAGCCATTGATCCAAAAAGGCCACGAGAACCTGGTGCACCATATCCTCCTGTACCAGTGCAGCAGCAATTTGAATGACAGTGTTCTGGACTATGGGCATGAGTGTTACCACCCCAACATGCCAGACTCTTTTCTTACATGTGAGACAGTCATTTTTGCTTGGGCCATTGGAGGAGAGGTAGGATGAATGTCTGTCTAGCATGGTTCATCAATGGGGCTTTTTGAGAGTGTGTATCATCAGGAAATTTCTTCCTAGTATATTAGTGATTACTTAATCTGTGTGTTCTTAAGGGTATGGGATCCCTAAATGCCTCAGCAGTAAGTCCTCAACCTCCTCTAGGCCTTTCAAATATGTAGTGCTGTGGTAATCCTGAGTGACAACCCAAAAGTAATGAAAATAGTAGAGAGGCAGTTGATGCCTTAGGGGAGAAAGATAGCTTTGGAGCATGGAAATCTCTTGCTGTATCAGCTTGTCTTATCTGACATGGAAATACAGTGCATCCAGCAATGACCAGTATCTGCTACCTGTGGATAATGACAGAAAGAAAAGCAGTGTCTCTAGGTAGCTTCATAAAAGACACAGAGGCACAACTCTCCAAATGAAGTTATACATGAATTTAATTAATTTGGTGCCTCACCAGGACCTGGTTTCACTGTTGCCCCATTCAGGCATATCATTCTGAAGTTTCTTACCTGTGCAAAGAAACATCATTTCTGTGATGGAGAGATCCTGTGTCAGTGCAGGGCCAGCATAAGGACCACTTTATATATGGCAGTGGGGCATATCTACTGAAAATACAGGCTGTGATGCCATGCTCACCCCAGGCTGTGTTTGCAGCTTATTTCATGTTAATTTAGGCTGCATTAAAGTAAATGCTTTCAGCTGACATAACACAGCATGACTACCAAAAGAATCCCAGCTCTTTACACCCTTGATTCACTGTGTGCCCACCCAAATGATGGCTTGGGCACAGAGAGGGACTGGGGTGATGAAACTTTCTGGAACCTTTGTTTGCCAGCCTGCAGTCCAAAACCATTTGCACATGCTGCAGTGTGAGGAAGCAAGAGTTGTTACATGGACCCATCAAAAGAAGTGTAGTCCACTAGGAGCATTATCCCTGGTGTATGCTTTGTGCATTTTTGCCATCAGCTATGCTCTGACCTAGTATTTGTACTTTTAACTGTCTTAATCTAAGTGAAATTAAAAACTCATATAAATAAGTTATCATATGACAAGCCCTATGGAGGTTTTTGCAAGGATGATCCTGCTGTTAAAGATCTGTAGAGAGGAATCTGACAGATCTGGGTTACATTCAGGTTTGCCCAAGTACCCATTTCACTAACTTTAGCTTACCCTTATGTAGAATGAAGGTGATAATTATTTTTATATATACTACAATTAATTCATTAATGTCCATCAAGCTGGATTCCAGAAAGCTGGAATCTCAAATTGCACATTTCAGAAAGTTAGAATGTGAAATTGCACATTAAAATATTATCTATATACTATAAAATGGTGCAGATTAATTCCAATTAAAGTGAATTTGGTAAATGAGTTCACTTAGGAGATACTGGTATTTTGGGTTGAATCAGGAGTGACCTTTTGAAGGAAATCTCCCAGTTATTCCCACTTACAGATCTTTGTTTATCATCATGAGTGGTTTGAGAAGTTGCACAGGCCTCTCTGGGATGAAGTTAAAATAAATGTGCAGGGGTGAACTCAGCACCTTGAGCAATAAATGTGACCTGACCAGCGCTTGTCCAGAGGAGCATCATTTGGGGGCAGTGGGTCCAGCACAAGCTGTTTCACCATGCAGAGCTGCTTCTTTATTGGCTTGCTAATGGAAACATAGCCATAAAGATCACCTTTATCGTTCAAATAATTTTACTTAGAATAGAGTTATTTGTGCACAAAAAGCAAGTTAATTACATGCAACCTCAGTATTCCCTGGAAATTACTGCTTTTAGAAGCTGGGAACATTTGAAATGTTGATTTATTTCTTCATAAGGGTTTTATTGTCAGACTAAGTGCTTGATGATGCAATGTTTGTAAGTTTAAAATGGAATTTTCCTTTTCTGCTCAAACAATAAATACAGAATAAATAATCATAAGATCACAGGATAATGCAGGTTGGAAAGGACCTCAGGAAGTCTCTAATCTAGCCTCCTACTCAAAGCAGGGTCAGAGGTGAAATTAGAGTAGTTTGCCCAGAGCCTTGTCCTCTGGGAAGCATTAGATCTACTATTTTGTATTGACATAGTTTTTAAGTTTATTGAGTACATAATAAGTATATTTTATCACAATGCCATGTTCAGAAAGCTGTAAAATAAGTGATATTTGTAAATTTTATTATTAATATGATGATATCTTGCAGTGATGATATCATTGCAAGAAGGAGTCAATGTGCTTACAAAGAGAAATTAACTCTTAACTATGGCAAAAAATACCTTAACTCTGTATTGATTTCTGTGTGTATTGGTTTCCAGGGCTTCACCTACCCTCCTCACGTTGGCTTATCCATTGGCACAGCAGCTGACCCTCTGTTTGTCCTTATGGAGGTGCATTATGACAATCCATCAGAGACAGAAGGTTTGTAGCCCCACAGGCTTTAAAACATGCCAGACTGGAAAATGTACTACACACAAGTGCTCATCCCTGCACTGCATGGCAAACAGAGCAAATAAAAAGCTGAGGGTTATTTTTGGTCCTGATCAATAGTTCCTGGTTTACAGTGTTTTTCTTATTGCCCTTGAATTTTTTTTTCTGTATTTTTTAGATATACATCTACCTGAACAGTGGACAGTTTCTGAAGTAATATAAATGCAGGTGTCTAGACCATTCACTGGGTAAAATCAGTTTATCTTAAAAGATAAGCTTTTAATTTGTAATAGTGTTTTAAAATTGTTCTTCCTGAATTTAATTTATATTTAGAAGAAGTAAAAGGGAGAAACAAAAAATCCCAGGAAAATCAGGGGAACTTTGAAGATGCCTCTGGGAAAGATACTTTTTTGTTCTGAAACAGAAGTTTATTAACCTACTGTACCCAAGAATATTGTGGTGGTTGCTACATATGAACTGAGTAAAATCCAGTGCAGCATAGTATACTGGCCTTTCTTTACACCCCTATGTGTTAAAAGAAATTTTTCTATGTGGGCTATGCCTTACAGTCATTTCCCATCTTCATCTTTTAAATTAATTAAATTTTTTAATTTAGTGACAGACTCTGTGCTTTCAGCATGTGGGATGCAATAAACTTAATTTGCATCCTTGATATTGTATGCTTTTTCATCAAATGTTGCATGAAAGCCCAAGAAATCATGTGCTGAAAAATTGTGTCCCTTTGATTTGGTTGCGTTCTTAAATCCATCATTTTAATTTACTGTGCTGTATGATAGTGTTGGTTTAGCTGAAGTGGCACATACGAAAAACTGGAAATTGGTAATGTTTTGTTTCCTTTTAAGCTATAGGAACACTTTTGCCTTGCTGGGACAGTCCCAAAAGACCTGGGAAAATTCAGACAGCATAGGCAGAGCAGGGTGTTTGTAATCCAGGTCATGCTTCTCCTCCTCCCTGGCAAAATACACAGTGCAAGATTGTGCCAGGAATGCAAGAGAGCAGACCTGGGTGCTCCATCTGCTTCTGGTGGGGACAAATGAGTTCTCCTGACACAACAGCAAACCTGCCACTGGGTCACCTTCCTTTGTGGGTTTTGGCACCTGCATTTTCCCAGTTTGGTGAAAGGCTGCACTGTTTGCCTCACATTGTGACCTGGGGTAATGTTTTCCTAAGTGACTCAGATTGGTAGTGGCTTTTGGCTCCCAGTTAGGAGGAGTTGAAACATTTTTTAGTTTAACATGGATGGGTTTCACTGTTTCTGGTTTCGTAGTCCTTAACATTCACTTCTCATTTGAAAGGTGGCCTGTTTTGAGATTGTTTATCAGAAACTCTGACATACCAGAGTTTTGCCATACAGAAGAGTGTATGACTACCATTCTTAATTGGCTATGCATAGTTCATATCCTTTGTTCCTTAATATTTATATGCACTACTCCATCTTAGCTATTTTAGTGACTGTGTAACAGTCCCTGCTCTGTACCTCTGACATTTGCTTATCTTAAAATAGACTGCTGATATCATATTGATGTAAAATTTGGCTTCAGGCACTGCTATGTCTGCTTTGTTTTTCAGAAGACTAATATAGGTCATTAGGAAGCATCTTACCTTCTCTGAGATATTCGATATGTTTTTGAATTTTTCATTTTCAAAATTGAAATTATTTCAGTTATTATTCAAAAATACAAAGAGATGAATAGATGAGCTAACAGAATTTAGTTCCTGTGCACAAACAGATTAATAATTTTTTGTGTATATCTTTACAAATAAAAATGACTAAAAGAAGAAAAGTATTCTAAGCATTTAGATGATATAGGAAAACATAAATTATTAATAGATGCACAAACAAACACATATGGCTAAACATATGTGGGTGAACAAAATAGATTTGTATTATTTTGACTCTTAGAAACACAGCCTCCAAACAGCAGGCTTTGGTTCTTTAAACCAATTTTTGAAATCAAGATAAGTCCTTGAGTCAGAGCAACATTAACATACTCTGTAATTCTCTTGTCTGCTTCACTCAAGGTGGGGGGTATTGTCTACAAGTGTGGGATTTAGTAAGGCAATTTTCAGGTTTAATTGATGCTCTCTTAATTGGAAAGATTGTAAAAGGGATGTATTTTTTTCATCTCAGGTAGTCTGTAATGTAACAGGCAATTCAAAGCAAAGGGAAAATATAATTAATGTAGCACCCAAGATGAAGAAATAGATGAAGTTGTCAACTAGAAGAGAACATGTGGCTTGAAAATTTTAAAGAGAAAAAACACTTCCTGCATATGGTTTCACACATTTCCATAATATTGAGATTGATTCCTTGATTTTCATGTAGAAAACTTATGACACAGCATGGAAAACATGAAGCAATATGGTTTGGGGTTTTTTCTCCTTTAAAAATCTGATTTTTAGCCACAGCTAACTGTGTTCTTTTGTTGCAGGCTTGATAGATAACTCTGGTTTGAGGCTAATTTATACTCCAGTTTTAAGGAAATATGATGCTGGGGTTATTGAAGCTGGTCTTTGGGTCAGCCTGTTCCACAATATCCCACCAGGCATGCCTGAATTTGTGTCAGAGGGTCACTGCACACTGGAATGTCTGGAAGAGGTATGTCCCTTGCCTGAATCCACTGGTTTTCATTCATGGAAATAATTGGAAGAGTCACTTGAGCTTCTTAGAAAGATTGATAGTTTCAGTTGAAAGATGTGAGCAAAGACATCTCATGGTACATGTTGTCCTCTAAAATGTTGTCCTTTTGAACTGGGTACTTGGCATGCTCACTACTCAGGCTGCTTTATTTATTTGAGTAATAATGGATGACACAGGGCTTTTTATTTTGTGTTTATGTAAGCATACACTGCTTTCTGTGGCAAAGCTATTAATAACTTGGTATAGCTAGCCCAGAAAAAAAAGTTTAGACTAATTCAGACCTGGGAATGTGCAAAAGGCTTCTAATGATGAAGTGAAAGCCTGAAAGGTATTCTTACACCAGCCACAGAAACTGAAGACCTGAGCAGGTTTTACATTTATTAAGTTCTTGGTTTCATTAAGATAATTTATATATCTCTGCAGTTAATGGAAGCACTGTCTAAAATCTGTGGTAACTGTATAATGGGAGATTCTCATATACTTTGTCATCTATAGGGAAAGGTTGAATTAATAACATGGTTTACAATGAAGGCTAAATTAGATATAAAATTTAGATTTGTTCTTGGTGGTGTTAAATGTTGGGTATTGTCCTGGCATTTTCAGCCTTAAAACCCTTGAGCAATCCATTATCATGAGGCTTCTGACCCTAGGGCTGTTCTTGAAAGGTATTGTGATGACAGATTATTTCTACCTTGAGCTCTGAACAAGAATTAAAGCTGAGCGTACTCAACATAAAGTTTAGATCAGTAGATGTCAGCTAGATTGGGAGTGATGCCAGATTTGTGTCAATTTGGAAAAGTTAATTTGCAAATGTATTTGACCTGGAAAAAACTTCTAGATGTAAACTTATGGTATTTCCCTACCAGTTCACTTAAAGATGGAAAGTAGAGGATGTTACAACTGCAACCTCTCAGTTTAAAGTGTGTCTCTTGGCATCATTCATAACTGCAGAGAAATTCATTTTCACAATAAACATCCACATTCATTAGTGTTAGCCATTAGCACCAAAATAATGTGCAGGTTTTAGTACTATTCCTTTGAAAGTCTTAAAACTATTGAGAATTATTTGCAGTCCAGTTGATTTTCATTTTAACAAATGGGTTCATATAGGAGTAAAAATATGTTTTTGTTTTAAAAAATAATCACAGAAAAAACCCCAGCCTTTTTTGGACATAAACCCTGAATTTCACTTAATGTTTTGGTTTTGCTCCAGACTGCATTTTTCAGTAAACTGAGTGAATTCAAAATGCATTAATGAATGTATTTGTAGATGGAATTATATTACATTACATTACTTTTCATTTGGGAACACTGATGGTGTTGGTTTCTCTTGGCCAGGCTCTGGGTGCTGAGAGACCTGCTGGGATTCAAGTGTTTGCAGTACTTCTCCATGCTCACCTTGCTGGCAGAGCTATCAGGATGCGCCACTTCCACAATGGCGAGGAGCAGAAGCTACTTGCTTATGATGACGAGTTTGACTTCAACTTCCAGGAGTTTCAGTACCTGAATGAAGAAAGAACCATCTTGCCAGTATGGCACTCTTAATACTTTTCCTGGAAGTGTTTAAGAGATCATGTGCCTATCATTTTCTCAACTTTAGGATTAAATTTGCCACAGAACTTCTTAGCCTAACATCATAGAATTCTTGGATGTTCTGTTAATTTTTCCATTTATCGCAGAGTCACTCATGCATTAAAGTTTCAGTGTCTTGGGAGTGTCCACATGAGTCACCACAGAACTGGCGTGGTTCATCAAATCAAGCTATTCTTTGGGTGCATTTGATATCCATAATAACCTGAACTTTATGATCACAAATGTTTGAACAAAGCAGATTAGAAAATCCCTTGTGTGCTTGGCTGTACCATCTTCATCCATCCAGAAAGATGAATAATGGAAATGCCTCTGTATGGCTTTACAGAGCTGTGGAACCAAGTAGCATATCTTCAGTATTTGCACCCAGCAAGTATCCAGCCTTACAAACCTGTTTAAAAATCAGCCAAGTCTTCTGTTTGTTTCAGACTTTTTCTTGTTGGGAGTAAAACTCCATGCTCATGTTCCACCCAATATTTCACTAGTAAACAAAACCTTTTGAAAGAAGAAATCATACAACTCCATTTACTGTATTCCTGAAAATAGTGCAACAGAACTTATAGAAATATTCCAACTAAAATTATATTATAAAGCAATAGCTATGCATAGTTATTGCATGAAAAGAGTCTGCATTTTTAGTGTGTCACTCATTTAAAAATTATTCACTTTTCTTTTGTTCTACCCAGTATCTACATTTAAGTTTTGGCATGATGACAGAAATTTTAATGCTGCAAAGCCTGGATGCTCCATATCTGTCCAGGAGAGCAGCTTGTCCTGGTGCATGTGAACAAGCATGTTTTTAAATTGTCAGTTGCAAAATGCCAAAAAATTGAATTTATTTACAATTGGAATCACTAAGGGAGACAGATCTGAAAAGAACATTGAAATGACTGAACTTAAGTATGGTCAGGAGCCCCATGGTTTAAACTTCAGGGGCTTCTCTTCAAGCCTCTTTCTCTCTTATGTCTCTTCTCCCACACTGTAAGACTTTGATATTTGTACTTTAGAGACAAGAAGCTAAAATGCTAACTTTATAGTTTAATTTCTACAGCAAAACCTGGATGTTCAAGTGCAGAATTTACTCTTTGAAGTAAAATTTCTCATAATCTAGGGGCCTCAAAGACAAAGTTACCTCCTTCAAGAAAGAAGGTTGAAGGGTTTAGGAAGAGGGCTGGCAGAAGATGACAGGTTTGCAGAGAAAGCCTGTAACATTTTTAGGAAAATTCATGAAATTATAACAGAAGGCCTCTTAAAATTCAAGAACATAAGGGAATAGACAACAGAAAAACTATAAAGAGCATTTGATAGTAACAGCAGAACAACAAAAAAAAACTAGGTCAAGTAGAAGATGGAAGTCTTTCTCTGAAGAGAACCATTTTTTATGCCTTTCATTTTCATCTTATGCAAAACTACCAGTGCAACTTTACATACATCATCTGGTGTAATTCAGAGAACAGTTTAATCAATTAACTAATACTATGATTTTTCATGTAAGTTCTTGTTAGTCTCTCTTTCTACAAGCTCTCCCAAGAGTGTAACCTTCTTTCAGCTTGTGGAGCACGTTATTTTTTTTCCTCACATAGTAGCACTCTCTTCTCCATTTGGAAGCAGCAGATCTATTCTCACAGAAGGAACAATTTTAGTGAATGTTATCCAGTCTGTAAGATATGAGAGCCAGAGACCTCATTGACAGAACAGAGTATTCCCACTGGAAGCAGTGACACTGTGCCAGCTCAAGCTACTTCAGAAACCTCTGTCTCCATTTGGCTGACATGAGGCTGATGCACCTTCTTCCAGCAGTCTGGAGTACAGATTGTGCTAGCCTTGATCTGGAGAAACAGCCTATAGGAAAGGATAAATTCTCAGCCTTTGAAGGGTGATCTGTTTCTTTTTAGGGAAGCATAATGGTTGATAAGGGAAGATGATACAAAAAAATTCGACTTGATTATCACGGGGATTTTCAAATTTGTACTTGATTAGGTATAGGGAGTTAAAGTATTACCAGACTGTAAGTATTACCAGTTTGTCAAGACACCAAAAAGTTAATTGTATGTGCTTGAGAAGGTAAGTATTCAGCCTTTCCCATACATATCTGTCAATGTAGTGAAGTCTTTGCCTGCCACTCCTCTACTCCCAGGCTTGGCAGAGATATAGTTGTTTTTGTGATGTGGAAAGCCTTCTTTTCCTCATTTGCCAAATATTTCTATTGAAGTTGGCAGTGTAAATTAGCCTGGGTTAAGTAGCACTGGATGAGTTTTGCAGCAAGAATAATTTGTTTACATTGTCTACTATATAATTTTCCAGAAAATTGGATGGTAACTGGGTACCTTCATTGCTATTTTAAAAGAAAGTCAAACAACACTCTTATTAAAACTGTTTAAATCCATGGGGGATCCCTGAGGATCTGGATAATATGAATGCTAAGCGCCAAGGCCTTAACATATGGCAATTGCCTAATCCTTCACTCTTTCAAAACGTCATATCCACTGCTCTGATATTTATTACTTGAGTGCTTGCTGTCATCTGTGGTTACCTGAAGCTGGTGTTGATAAAGTTCAGAACTGTGAACTTCCTAAATTTTGTATTTCAGGGTGATAATTTAGTCACAGAATGCCACTACAGTACTGTGGACCGAATTCGCATGACGTGGGTAAGCAATATTTTGGTGGATCAAAATAAGTACACAGATAATATTGGGGACTAAAACCTTTTTCACAGAACACTGTTTTAAAAAAGTGAATTTACTTACTAATTCCTGTGTGCACATAACTATTTATTGTCTTTCCTTTCATAGATTCTTAGGTTTTAAAGTCATCTGAGCTATTGTGATCTTGGTCTGATCTTTTGCTTAAGGCATTCATATGACTAGTTTGTAAAAATAAGCACGTCAGCTCATAAAAAATCCTTAGAAGTCAAACTTTTCTGGTATAAGGAGTGCTTTCTTCACAACATGTATTAACATGCAAATTCTGCGTACTGTAATGAATCATTTTTATGAAGTTGTTACGCATTTTTCCTGGAATTGTAATTGCCAGTTCTTTTGTATTGATTTTTAGATAAGCTGTGATCAGAAGGTTTTCCAACTATTTAGTTTTGCGCCTAATACAGAATCCAGGCAGAATGAAGGTCCTTTGGGTTGGGAAGAGGTGTTGGGAAACCACCCCTCCCTGATGAGGGTGTCCAGCTCTGGTTTGGCACAGTCTCCCAGAAGCAGCTTGATAGATTAACAGAGGCACTGGGCATTGCAGTGCAGTCACTAGGTTTTGGAGGTGAAGTAAATTTGGTTACTCGGACATGGGCTGCACTGTCCCAGTTGTCTAGGAGCACATAGAGTGATGCCAAACCCACTATGTCTATGGGAGGGATATAGCTGCCTGTGCCAAGGTCTGATGCTGCTTCCTGGGGGAGTGGCTGGATCCAGACCTCTGGGAAGTGAGACCTGAGGGCTGTCTGTTTTGCAGGGAAAAGCTGTTCCTGGCATCCAGAGAGCAAAGGGATACTTCTCCCTGAGTAATGGATTGCATGTAGGCATATGCAGTAGTTATTTAATGAAAAGCAAAAGAGCAAGAATGAAGGCTTTTGAGTTTTTTGTCCTGTTTTCTTGTGTGGTGACCACACTAACTCTTGGCTCATGTGTTTTCTCCATTCCTATTCCTGTGGTTCCATGAGACTTGTGGAAGTGTTCCCACCCAGGATTTAGGAACATGTAGTTTATAATCTTGTCCATGTTTACCAAGATTAATTTTAAGTTGGTTGTTTGCCCCATGGTTCTCAATGGAAGATTGCTTAAGAATCTGTTTCTTCTAACTAATTTTATAATGCATGCTCATTTTTTCTTGAGTCAACATTATCTGTTAATAGAAATAATTCTTTTCCTTCTTGCTTTTTACTGGCATATGTACTTACAACCTAAGTTCATAGGTTGTAAGGAGTATGAATCTTCCATCCCAGCCTCTGTTTTACTAGGCAAAGCTCAATTAATTTCTTATTAAACATATTAATTGTCCTACAAGATTTTTTTCCTTATCTGTTCCACTTTTCTGAAATGTGGTAAATCTAAGTACCTTGGGGGCAACTGAAAGCAAACCTGAACTTCTCAGATAGTACACTTCAATATAATATGAGCCTTATTTTATTCACAGGTGTTCTTTCTGATGTCTTTTAACTTAGAAGCTATTGCTTGAGCTTCCAGAGTATTTTGTAATTAATTATGTAATAGCCTTTTGCTACTTGACAACCTCATGTACGAGATAAACTTGTCAAATTTGGCCTTCTGATACATTTTCATTAGCATCTGAATGCTAATCAGTGGTTTAATTTGTGGGATTCCAGTGCTACCCTGATTAATGAAAAATCCCATTTTCAGGGTGGTCTGAGCACCAGGAATGAAATGTGCCTGTCATACCTGCTCTATTACCCGAGAATCAACCTCACCCGCTGTGCGAGCATTCCAGATATAATGGAACAGCTCCAGTTCATTGGTGTTAAGGAAATCTATCGACCAGTCAGGTATGTAAAATTTTTATGAATATGTGCAGCACCTCTCTCTCTGTCTGTGGGATTCTTGGATCATTTTTATACAACTTTTCTTTCTTTCTGGTAGAAAGAAAAGAAACATAGTCACTGTGCCACTTCTTTTGGTCAATATGCTGTGCTGCCATTTTTCCTGCCAAATTATTTTGCATCTTTTTTTCTTCTGATAGAAAAGCAGTTTCTTCTTTTAAGGAAATAATACTGTTAACATTGTTTTTGTTGTTTGTTTTTTTTTTTTACCACATACATCTGTGAAAAGGCTATATATCAATATTTTAAATCTATCAATTTATTAAAACATGTCAATGTTTCATATATAGAGAAGTAATTTTGAAAAAGAGTTTGTGAGCTGGTTATTGAATTTCTCTCGGTAGTTTTGTTGACAGGAATTCCGAGGACAAAAATATGTTCCTTATAGTGCTTAAAATTAAAGCATCTTAACAGGAGATTGTAAACAGTGAGAACAGTCAAAAGTGGAATGTTCCCAAATGAATGAAATGCAGAAAAATAATCAAACAATAAAAAGTTGAATGAACATTTTGTGGTGAAAGGTGAATTGCATTTGTATTTTTAGTTGCACTAAACTACTGTAATAATAAGATTTTAAAATCAAATGGATAGACTAATAGTGTGTCATCACAAATTTTAAAAGTTGTCTTTGCTTATACAGTTTATCTTAACAAACCATATAAAGCTATTATTGCAAAATAATTTGACATACAGGCTTAGTGGTCTTAGTTCTGAAATTTATATTCAAGAAGAGTTTGAAGGAAGTCACAGTCCAATCAATGTCTACATAATTTTCCACACTATTTCCATTTACAACCTCTTTTAATGCAGGGAGAACAGAGTTTCTAAATTAGTCCTATCTAAAAGAGTCTTTCTGAGCTTAGAAAGAAAATATTCTAACAAATGTATGCTCTCTTGAGTGTTCATTCATGATAACTGTACTTAAGGAAAAAATGCACATTTGGCCTGGGGAAATAAAGATGTTCTGAATAGAGTAAGTATGCAGACTGTCTGCCACAAATGGAATAGTAATTAGAAGAGGAGATTATTAATGCCTCTAGTATTTATGACCTAATCCACAATTCTTGTTTCATTAAACTCTGTCAGCCTAAGGATATGTGACCTGATCCTCATCTCTCTTGTGTCAGTCTAACACTAGAATTGCTTCACTGACTTTTTCAAAGTCTCTCTTGACTTACAAATGCAAACTGGGAGTAGGATCAAGGCGTTGTGGCTCACTTAAAAACATTTTTCCTCTGTTTGGTGGCACAGACAACAGTTTAAATCATGAGGAGAAGAGATAAAATTGGGCTTGAGTACCATAATACTTGGTTAAAATCACAGTCTCTATGCCTAGATGTTGAGTGGAGCAGAACTCTGGCATAGACAATTTCCCCAAAGCAAGTGGGAGACAGCCTACTACAAGGTAACACAGATCTGTTTAAAGTATTCTGAAAAGATAACTCATGCTCCAATCACAGTATTAATTAGGTACTTGATAAAGGTTTAGATACTTCTGTTCTTCCTCTAGCTGAATTGATTTTGTGTTTGTAAAAGTTTGATTCCTCCACCATGTTTTTTCCGTTCATCTCAGTAAAGTCAAACAAGAAGAAAGCAGAAACAATTGAAAAGGTTGTGGGTTATGGATTTTTGGTTTTTCTTTTAATTTTCCTATGTTACTTTTTTAGTTTTCTTTACTAAATGAAATCTCATTCCTTCCCTTTCCATGTGGCTGGTGAGAAATGAGATTGTCCCCATTTGTTCATGGGAAGGATTCCCACACTTGGCCAGACAGATCTTTCAGAGCAGTGCAGCAGGTCTCTGAACCACCTCTGGCCAAAAGTACCCTTGCAGCCAGCTTGTAGGAATATGCCAAAAGGAGAGTCCACAACCCTGGTTATTGTCTGCTGCCCACCAGTGCAGAGCAACTCCTCAGTTCTGACCTGAGCTTGGCAGACCCGTCTGCAAGCAGCTTTCTAATGGCAAAGGTTCCTTGGCAACCTGGCCTGCCAAACCTCGGAGAGCGTGTGGCTTTCCTTTGTTTGTGTTTTTGTTTTCTTCAGAAGTTACAGCAGATCTGCTTTGTATTGCTTGTGCATTGAGTTTGTGGATCAGAAAAGAGCAATGTACCTCTTGAAGTCCTTCATTTCCAAAAGCATCTGGTAGCAAGTACTAACCTGCTGATAGCCTTTCATGAGTCTGTCAAAATCAATGAAACTGCATCAGTTTTCAGTAGAAGAGAACTTAGTTGAAAAGAGAACTTTGTGAGCTAGGCATAATATACATAGCTGTAGTGCGTTTATTTTTCTAAGTTCCCCAGAAGTTTTCGTCGTTCATTTCAGCCTGATAGTTTTTTATCTATTTTTTAAAAGTAATTGTTTGTTTTTCTTTAGGACTTGGCCTTTCATTATCAAGAGTCCTAAGCAATATAAAAACCTGTCTTTTATGGATGCAATGAACAAATTCAAATGGTCCAGATCAGAGGGTCTCTCCTATAATCAACTTGTGCTTAAACTACCTGTGAACGTGAGATGTTCTAAAACAGATAATGCCGAATGGTCGGTAAGTCTGTGTGCTGAAAAGGAGGCAATGATGACATGAAACTACTTTGATTTACTGTGTTTCAATGCATGTGAATAACAATATGATTATATGTCTTTAGGATGTTTACACAGCTATATTTCATTTACATACAATAACAAATGATGAGAATGTTTTACCAGTGCTTTCATCTAACTTGAGTTCTAGAAGCATTTAAAAAGAATAGAGAAGTTGGAGCTTTAATCAGCACCTGGGATCAGTAATAGGAAGATGGAGTCTTTCAGTGGGGCTGGGACTGATCAGAGAGCAGCCATGTACATCAGGTGAAGTGACCATGCCAGGAAACTGTCCTACCTTGGCTACCTCCATGGTCAGGGACTTATGTTAGGGTCTTGCAACAGATGATTTGAAATCCCTAAATCAGGTTTCCTCTCTGAGACACCTTCTAGGGGAAGCTTACTGACTGCATAATGAAGCCTCAAGAATCTGCCTTCTTAACTTGGGCATCTAAACAACCTAAAGCTGTATGAATATTCTTGCAATAAGTCATGCTTTTTTAATGATCCTAGAATTGTCTATAGTATTGGGCCAGAAAAATAAAATTGGATAGTCTGTTCCCTTTGTGCAACTTATTAAGATTTTATCTTCCATGGTTTTACTTTCTCTATTGTCTTGATGAAAAAACCTGTAAGAGAAAATATAATTCCCCAATAAATTATTATTTATTCTAAATATCTATTGGTATTTTACCAGAACACTGCTGAGAAAAGTTGTCATCTTCAATGTTGATGTTTGTTTAAAAAGAATGGCTAGTGCATGTCATATCATCCCTAAAAAAAAATGCTTTAAAATATGTATTCCTCTTTGAACTCCTTTACAGACTCCAAATTCGAGGCTTTTACTTTTTTGAGATTTTCTGTTCAGAATTAGAGGCAGTCTCACTGTACCAGCTTATTTCCTATTGTGATTTCAGTCCAGTGTAGCAGAGCTGCTGTGGGATACTACTGATGAAGTAATTCCTATGAAAGGATTTCTGCCTCATCCTCCTCACCCTAGAAGATAGCCCATGCTTCCTCAAAGTGTGTCACACAGTCCTTTCAGGTGTTGAAGAAATTGCCCCTCCTACAGCAGCGTTCTTGTGTTTTTCCAACATAGGTCAGACTGTTCTGCCCATTGGATGACAAAGGAATACTGTGTGCTATAAGTAATGAAAGAGGTTCTGTCCCATTGTAGACCTCCTGTGGAAAGTAGTTGTAGACAGAAAAAAACCAGTTGTAGACAATACTGTGACTTTTCGCCAGTTTTGGTTAAACTTCTTGACCTTTACAGCTGATGACTAGTAGCAATTGCATAGCCACCCTTTCACTGATTATTTGTCAGAGGACAAGTCAAGATGATGAAAAGCACAGAAATTTTATCAAGAGGGGATAGGCTGAGGTTTTTTTAATGGTATACTTTCTGGAAAATGCTGTTGCTCTTTATCTTACAGGATGAAGGAACAATACTTACAACTCAAAGAATGAGCTCACTGAAACTGGGAGTTCTTAGCTCTTCCTTAATCATAGTTTCCTTTTTCAAAATGACATGGGCATATTCTTCAAAGCTAAGATTAGGACTCTTTCCTTTCCCTTCCCTTATTAGTGATATTACACTTAAATAACCATCCTCATCAAAATCAGGGACAGATTTAACCTGAATGGCCAAACAATCCCTCAGTTGTTCCAAGACTGAAAAAAATTGAAGCAGAGGAACTGAGTTGAAAATACCTTCTTTTTTCTATAGAGTTGGTCTGTATTTCAGTTTTACTTTTTTGTTGTGTTTGCTAAGATTAAGTCAATATTCAGTTGGGGTTTCTTTCTAGGGTACAGAATAATAGCAACATAGATGAAGTCCCCAAAGCAAGCATATGCTGTACAGGTGGGCATTCAACCTTTCAAAAATGTGCCCAGGAGCTTACTTTCTGCAAAGCTTATTTTCTTTAACATGTAGGGAGTTTAGGAAAAGCAAGCTGAGCTGTGTACACAAATGTCTCCAATTTCATGTCAAAACTATAGCAAACATGTAGTTACGTCAAATCCCATAAAATTGCACTGAGTTCTATGGGAAGAGTGAAAAATGCTCAGTACATAGCAATATGACACTGCTGTATGTGACCTTGCTTGAGCAGGGACATGGAACCCAATGACCTCCAGAGATCCTTTCCAACCACAACCATTCTGTGGTTCTGTGGAACAAAACCTGTGTACACAGTTTTAGCTGTTTTGTACGTGCAAGTGTGAGCCTTGCACTCAGAAATGAACACATTCAAATATCGTCCTATATCCCCACAGCAGAGTGACACTGCCAGCTTTCGTTTGTATTTGACAGAAAGATGAAAACAACAACCAAACCTGCCAAACAACCCCATAAAGCAAAATAAGGTTACTCAAATAAACCAACCAAAGTCTATCCTAGCTTGACTGTAGAGGATGCCAGTGTGTACTGCTGCTCTCGAGCTGAGAATGTTGGATATGCACACTGGCTGATCATTTGGCATGCAGTATATTCATATTTTTACTGAGCTTGATGTTTCCACAGTGACAATCACAGCCCAAGTACAAAACTATCAATAGACTATCAGGCAAGCTGCCAATTATCTTGAGAGCAAAAAGAGTTTTCTAATCTTATGTGACAAAACTGATAATTTTTTGCTATTTTAATTTCAGATCCAAGGCATGACAGCTTTACCTCCTGATATAGAGCGACCATACAAGACAGAGCCAGTAATATGCAGTTCATCTTCCTGTTTAAGTTGCAGTTTATTCCTTACCCTGTTGTGTATTGTATACATCACAGCCAGTACCATAGGAAACACTGAGCCCTTTGTATAATAATTTTTATTCATCTGTGTTCTGTATGCCATGCAAGTTCTGATGTGTTTGCACTGTTGCTATTGTAGATTTATTTTTTTACTTATTAATGAACTACATTTGCTGGATCAAAACAAAATGTGTACATCCTTTGGAAACTGTGGGGTTTTTGGTTTTCAATGTAAAATATGTATGAAATACAGTAGGTACACTGACACATTGCATATTGAAATATTTTCCTGAACCATTTTCTTATACTTTGTCCTGCCTCTTTCATGTGGTGCTTTCAAAGTCATCTATGTATATGGGTAAAATTAATAAACTAAAAGCAACTTAGTTAACCACAATCAGCCTGGTCTGTGTTGTATTATTTTGCCTTGATTGTTGTTATCTGCAGGTAATGAAGGCACTGCTATATGGACAGGACTTGCAAACATAAATTTGGGCATGTCTGGCTGACATGTGCCATAAAGCTATGGGAAGGATTCATTCAGTCTGGACATTTCTGGGAGCAGCACACTACAAAACCATCTTAGCTCCTGAGATATGAGAACTAAGGGTGCTAAAGGGATGAAAAACACAGGCAGAACCCCAAATCTCCTCATTGTGAATCCTGTACAAATCCTTTGGCTTTGTTGGCATTTCTTTTTCCCGATCCCAGGTAGTTCAGGGCGTTGCTTGTGTCCTAAGATATTTGCACAGTGAATAAATCTTTGGCGAGAAGTAGGCATTCCTTTTCTAGATTTGATCTGGACAGCAGGAGCAATAAAGATTTATCTCACATTTAGGCTCTGCCATGCACAGGGAACTGAGCCTTCCAGCAGCTATTGTTAGCACATGCTGAGCATTGCAATAGGCCAAACTGCTGATTAAGAGGTTGTTTTTCTGTCTCATATGTACAAAGTTTTATTTATATTCAGAAATTGGCAACTTTTCAACTCAGATGGTGCTGGGTAGGGAAGATTCCTGAAAGAGACAAAATTTATTGCTCCCCAGTGAAATTATGCCACACAGTAGAAAAGGACTGAACATTGAAAAAAAAACCATTCATTTTTGTAGCCCCACTGCAGTTACAGTAAGCTATAATTTTTTCAGTATTGCATAAACATTTTTGGAGTGTGGCTGTAAAAATAAGTTAGTCTGGATGCTGAGAGTGCTTCCCTGATCTCTGCAACACCTGCTCTACAACTAACCTCTGTAGACTTAGTTACACACAGGCTTTGCTATGTACATTTTATGACATTGAGCACTTCTGTGCAGTGTGGTGAGTCCAGAGCAGATCAAGAACCTGAGCTGAGATAAAATGCTTTTCTGCCCATTTTTGTTCATTAACTGTTAACAACTGATATCAGCTCTCCGTGCAGCTCCTCTTCTTAAGCAGGGCAGGCTGTTTTATGCAAAGAAATATCACATAAAAAGGAAGATGAGGAGAAGATCTGGCAGCTGTCTTCTCTGAATTTGAAAAGTAAAAAGGAAAGCATCACAGAGCTGGTAGGGCTCCTCTGCATGTAGCCAAAATTGCAATGCATGTGATAGCTGACAGGAGAGAGGCACTGAAGCAGCTCCATGTCTCAAGTAGAGATGAAAGATTTAATCAAGGGTAGATTAATTTTCTAGGAGCTATAGCAATCTCATTAGAGAACTTATGCATAAAGGGAGTTTAAGATGGGCCATGAAGGTAAAAGTTCACAAGGCCAGCTTTATCCTTCTGATGCTGTATCTGTACTTGGCTTGGAAAAATTCCTACATGGGAAAATTCTTTATCATTGTTGGGGAGGTTTTTGCTCCAAATATACCTGGACTGTGATATATTCTGTCATTCTTCCCTTTGGTTCTGGATGAGCTAAGGAAGTAGTGTATGCCAAATAGCATGTGGGTTTTTTTGGGATTAAGCTCCTGAAGTTTCAATAAAGAAATGTAACTATGTAGGTGTCTTCTTCCTGCCAGAAGAACTATGTTCTTCTGTTTTGTAGTCCCAAATATAACTGGTTGAAAAGAGTAGTCATGGTGAATTATAGGCAGAAAAGTCTTCTGACTGATTATTTTTACAGATCTTTTCTGAATGTAAAAAAAGTGAGGGGCATCCTCCATCTACTAAGATATCATGAAGTCTAGGATGCATCCTATTCTAACAGGAGTCAGCAGGGACCTTGGCCTTTCTTATGCTCAAACCCATCCCTAATCTAGGCATGTTTTAACAGCTTTTCTTCAGGGAGCAAGGGGAAAAATAACAGGCAATGAAATGAGAAAAGAGCTTTTGTGTTGGATAGAGGAGCCCTTTCACATGCAGTGTTGTGTCTCATTTGCTACTACTGGCATCCATCCTGGGTTGACTTGATTTGCAAAACATATAAATCAGATCTAGGGTTAATTTCCATTCTGTCTGTTCTCTGATTTGATGCAGTTTCTTATCTACAGGGATTTCCTTTCTGTGGGCACCCATCCTAGGAACACGTGAACAGATGGGTGTTTGTTTTTGCTATCCAGTATGGCACAAGATGATGTAAAGCAAAGCCAGCTCAGAAAGGATGTCTGTGAGAGATAGCTGCCAGCATATCAGGCAGACCTGTCATATACACTAAACACTCATTTTTGTTTAACCCACAAGTGTTTTATGATTTCTGGGGGAATGGAAAGGAAAATTTTGCTTCACAGGTAAATAAAAAGAGAAATTGGTGATAGAGTTCTGGGATATTTCCAAATAAAAGAAACCAAGACAGATGTGAACACATTATTACAGAAACTTAAAACCAGAAAACAAATAAAAACCAGTCTGAAATTGTTGAGAATTCAAACAAGGATAAAAGTGAGAAATGCTATGAGCTAACTCTATGTCACTGAAGAAAAACATGTAGCAAGCACACACCTAGTCACACTGCACAGGAAAAAGCTCTCAGACACAGATCTCTGTGGTTTTCTCTCATTATTGAGCTCTAGTAAAGCATATGTTCTTTGTGTTTCTACCCAAAGCATTTATAATAGTTATAGTTAATAGCATATACAGTAAGTACTATTATCAAGCAAACCATGGTGGTGAAGATGTGTATACATTGGAAAATCTATGACTTGTAGATGATGAGCACAAAAATGACTACACACAATACATTATTTTAACAATTATGTCATTCATGCTTTTCTTTGTGTGAAAAAAATAGTTAAAAGTTTCTAGTGAGAAGCCAGATATGTAAATATTTTAGTGGTATTAAATATTTGGTGGATTGCATTCTCCAACAGTTGCTGAAAATGTTTTAATAATATTCCTTACAAAATGATCCAGTCACCTATCACCTGCAGACTATCTATAGATGTACTATTTATAGCATTTAATCCCTTTTGGGTCTATTATTTATCCATTACAGATCTTCCATTTAAACATGTGGCTCTCCTCAAATATCCCTCTCATCTAAATTGACAACCATTTGGGATTTTGCCTGTGTGTAGTGAAAAGAGGATGCAGGACATCTGAAATAGGAACACTGGTGTTTACGTAGCTATACCATTTGTCCCTGTAGAGGAGACTGTCATTTTCTGATCTCATTTCCCCTGCTGGAGGCCCTATACAGGCATCTATACAACCCCATGTCAGCCCATTCTTGGCTGCATAGCGTGACATCTAGGCTGGGTGCAAGTGTGGACCAGTGCAAGGGTGAGAGGCTGAATCCCAGCTGTGGGAGTGCAACTGTATTGGGCTTAATTCCTTTCACTGGGGAGGTCTGGCTTGTTTAAAAGAGGCCTGTTTGGCCATATTATCCCAGATGCCATAGGGGCACAAATTTAATAAACAAAATCCAGCAGAAACACTGGCCTCATTCTCCTCTTTCCTCCCATCAAGCAGAAAGTGACTATTTTTAGACCAATCATTACTACTGGAATGTTTAAGAATTTTCATTCCTTCTGCCCTTTGCCTCTTATTTCTGATTGTTGGTACATCTGTGTCTCCTATAAGGGTGAGGGAGAGAGAGAGAGAGAGAGAAAACATCCTCAACCTTTTAGCAGAGGGTAAAGCTGGGAGAAGAAAATGACAACTGTGACAGAGAAAGGCCCTCTAGCCCCCTTCCTCCACTCCCAGAGAGGTCTCCCTAGGTCATGGGTGCCCTCACAAGCAGTTGCCATCCCCTCACCAGTGTCCTGCACTGGACACTGGGGGTGGGTAGAGCCATGGAGTTTCCCTACTTCAGCCCCTGCAAAGTGCAGGTGGTGCAGGTGCAGTTGCCCCATCACCCAACACCTAAGGCCTGGTGCTTAGGGTACTCACCTAGGTGAAAAATGTAAACATAATTTATGTTTGCACATCAAATCAAGCAAAGGAGACTATTCACCTAGATTGAATTTTTAGCTTTGTGGTGTTTCCAGTTTACAGGAAAATGGTAAGGTACCAGGCAAACATTGGGAAATTTAAGATGACTAAAAATGTGACTTACAGTCTGCTTCTGGGCATACTAGAAAAATATTTACTTCAAGAAAATGTCTTTTTGCTCTGCATGCAACAGACTCCTGTAACAGGAAATCTGGGGCTTCACATCTGCTCTAGGACAACGTATTGCAGTTGCACTACCAGTGGCAACTAACAGTGTGCTGTGGAGGTGAGCTCTGAGAGACAGAAAGCTCTGCTTGTGAAACACAAACAGATTGTGTAAATACTCCTGGAGACTCAGAGACTTATTGGCAAGGTAAATTGCCTTTTGTGAGGCTGCTCTCTCCTTTCCTATGGGTGTCTCCCTTGGGTTGCATATACATCACCTTGTAAATGCTGTTTCTTGCATCCTAGCAAGCAAGAAACCAGCTGGGAGCTGAATGTGCTTCTTTCACTAGAGACGCCAGACCAGACAAGTTGTAGAGTTTACAACTCTGTTACAAAATTATGGCAAAGAAAAAAAATATTGCTCTGTCTTTTAGTTTTAGAGGCTTGAGCAAGTGTTTCCTGAGCACATTGCCATTATTTAATCATGATTTAAACTTCCCTCTTTGCAGTGATTTTTAAGAAACATAGCTGTATTTTTCACTAAAAATTTCCAATCTCT